TAATACACTTATCGGGGGCATAAAATTTTTTAAAAAAAATTAAAAAATATATCAGGTGCCTGATTTTTATTAGGTGATCGATAGATCCCTGATATATTTATATTACACCTATTGGGAACATATCAGTTGCCTATCAGTTACCTATTAGCCATCTCGATAACTACCCAATTGGCCCCCGATATATACCCGAAATACGGATTTCGACCTGTGAAAATAACAGCAGCAATATATATAGAAATGTTAAAAAATAATTTAATTTCATTTATTAATAGTTTAGAAAATAGTAATAATTATATTTTTCAAGAAGACAATACTTCAATTCATATTGCAAAAATAGCAAAAAAATGGAAAAAAAATAATAATATTAAAAGTTTTCCATGGCCTGCACAAAGTCTAGATTTAAATCTCATAGAAAATTTATGGAATGAATTAAATAGAAAAGTCAGGTCATATAAACTATTACCTAAAAATAAAGATGATTTATGGCAAATTTTGCAGGAAGAATGGTTCAAACTTGGAAAAGATAAATATAATAATCTTGTTAATAGTATGCCTAATCGTATTGCTGCTGTTATTGAATCTAAAGGTTATCCCACAAAATATTAACAAATAAATTATTATAATAAATTGAATTAAAAAGTTCTTGAAATAATCATTAAAGGTTGCTACATGTAAAAGTTTTTATTTATTAAGTACTAATAAAAATTATATTAAGTAACATTAAAGCTGAGAATATATTCAGACATTTAATTAAAATTGAGCTAATAAATAATGATTGAATTCTAGAGAATAATTTTCGAACGTCCAGTGTTCAACCGTTGATATTAAATTCAATTTGTAAGCAAAAATTCTAAAAACTTCAGAAATAATGCTCCTTATTCTTGTCTATAAGATTAATTAGTAACATGTTTGATGGTTTATTAGTAAATAATAAACTTTTATATGTAGAAACTTTTGATAATCATTTTCGAATATATCAATGTCGATCATTTTATCATTGATATTTTTTAAAAAATCTGAAAAAAAATCTGAAAATTATTATCGAAAGTTATTACATATAAAACTTTATAATTTACTAATAAACTATTAAATATGTTATTAATTAATCTTATAGCGAAGAATGAGGAGCATCTTTTATGAAGTTTTTAGATTTTTTATTAACGAATTAAATTTAATATTAATGGTTGAACACTGAACGTTCAAAAATTATTCTCTAGAATTCAATCGTTATTTATTCGCTCAATTTTAATTAAATATGTCTGAATACTTCATATATAATACACTGTATTCTCAGCTTTAATATTACTTAGTACTACTTTTATTGTTAAATTAATAAATAATAAAGTCTTATATGTGTAAACAATTGACAATTATTTTCAGATTATTTTCTTATTTTTTAAATTTTTTAATAAATTTCGGCCGTTTTTATTCACGTCTAATTAAAGTCAAAATTTTCACTAGATACTATGAAAAACGCTTCTAATTAATATTGTGGATACTGTTCTTGGCTATTATTCCATATAAGATAGTTGGCATTTATCTTTAAAATCCATCGAATGCGATATGGGTAACGTTCAAAGATTAAATTTTTTATTTTTTGTCAATTTTGTTTGAAGCGTAATTTCTCTATGCATAGACATTTAATTTTAACACAAAATATATTATATGATAGCCCTAGTTTAGGGGAATCTAATAAAAAAAAAAGTTTGTGCAATTTAGATCACCCGTTGTGTCACAATTAGCATTTTAATTTTAGTAATTTTTTTATTAATTTTTGTTTGCCCCATGACTTTTGATACCCCACTGTACATCAATAATTTCTTTTTCATCATTTTCTGAACCTGGTTTACATAAACCAAAATCAGTAATATAAGAATTAGTTAAGGATTCATTAACTATATTACCGGGATAAAAATCTTTGTGCACCAGACCAATCTTATGAATTCTATTAAGCCCACGAGCTATACATAATAAAATTTCGATTTAAATCTTTTATTTAACATTTTTCGGAGAAAACCATATTTTGCTTATTTCATAACTATCATATAATTCTTTGATTTTGGATCTTTAATTATGCCATATATTGCAATTACCGATCCACCTGAACTTTAAGTTGATGTTTAATCTAAAAAAAAAAAAATAATTTAGATATATACATATATTTATATATTTGAATGATAGAATATTAAATAATCCAAAGATATTTACTTCTTGTTTAAATGTGTTTGAATCAAAAATATTTAATTGTTTTAAACAAACATAATCTCGGTTTGACCTATGCCAATTTTCACTTTTATGATCCAATGAAATAATAAATCCATCAAGCCATTTAGCTTCGAAAACCTTACCAAAACCTCCTTCATCGAGGTATTCAATATTGTCGAACCTTCCAAATGGTATCAATTCAAGAATCTCTTCATACTTATTTGCATTAAGTTGCATTTGTTGAATATTTTTATCAATTTCTTTGTCACAACTTGTCCATTTATCAAATTCGGTTTGGAATTTTTTGCCATTACAAAAATTACACCAATTTAATCCCGTGTTATCTTGTTGACATCCTTTACACTTTCCAATGGCCTAAAAAGTATTAATAATGTTGATAAGCAATCATAAAAAGCTTTAGTATTAAAGATTATTTAAAACAAAATACTTACGTCTTATAACGTGAATACAATTGATTGTTAATTGAATTATAATTAATTAACAATTAATGTTATTTTAGTATTCGAGTAGCTTGAAACATATATTTTGATAGAGATATTCACATTCTGTAATTATAACATAAAATGTATGAAATACTTTAGATTGATAATTGAATAGAGAGTGTTATTTGATGCGCAATAACTTGAACTTTTTTTTTAATAGATATGGACTTTTTAAAAAAAAATCTACTTGATTTTAATAGAATCCAAAAATTTCATTGCTCCGGGGTGATACATAATCGCTGCTAATCTATAAAGTTCAATACTCTTTTCTTTATCTTCACTCACCCATAATTTTCCATTATAAAAAATATTTCCAAGTTTATGCATAGCAGTTTCATTTCTTCCTGCTATTGCTTACATCAAATGATATAATAAAAGTTCATTTAATTCAGGATCATCACCATTACCAATTTAATTAATTCAATTGCATAGGAAAGTTGTGCATCAGGGCAGCTGCCGCTTTGAATAATTTTAAATCTTCTTCTGGTTCTTTTTTCTATAATATATAATATCCATTCCGAATTTAATAACCTTTCCAATATTTTGCTAAACTATTTCCTAAATCAGAATATTTATTAAAAAATCTCTAAGCTTTTTTGTAATTTTGATCTTCGTGAGCTCGAATTCCTTTCTTTAAATAATCGTGATCGGAAATATTTTCTGAGTTAATATCATATAATTTATCATCTAATTTTACACTAGTTGGTGGATCCAATTCTAAATCTGGAATATCATCGTTAGAGTTTTCTTTTGGAGGGATTTGTGGAGATACGTATTTTTTACATAAAAATTCGATTTTCGAATAAAATTCAGGATCTGATGGTCGTTCCGTTGGATTGGTTTTACATGTTAGATAAAAAAAAAAAAGTTACAAGAGTAAATTATTAAATAATTAAATTTATTAGATAATTAGTTTATAATTTATTACTTTTGCCAAGTTCTTGCTCAATTGAATTTGGATGCGTTAGAATTCCTAACATTTCTTATTTCCCATTTTCAATATGCTCGTGTGTTTCTTGTAAATCCATTTTTTCATATACAATTTTTTGATAACAAAGTTCCCAAATTAGCATTCCAAAACTAGATTTTACTATAATGAAATATGTAATAATTAATTATAAAATATACGACTTAAAATATCAAAGATATATTTACCTAAATATTTCAATTTGGCGGTAATATAGTTTTTCATGAATTACTTCAGGCTCTAACCAGGGAATACATTCATCTCTATATAAACTTGGCATAGGTTTGTCCCTATACATTATGTGTGCCCTTTCAAAATTTGAAATTTTTGCTTCAGTAATCTAAGAAATAATAAAAATATTTTTAATAGATTTGATAGACATAGATTGTCAAGGAAAAAATAATTCTTATTTATCAATATTCTTACAACAGACGTCGTGATGAAATATTCTGGAGCTATGCATAAAATAAAGGCCACTAAATATATCTGTAATTTTGTAGTCCATAAAATGTCAAACTTCGTATAAAATTCTTTTAGATTTCCATATGAAGCCTATTCAAAAATCATTAAATCTTCCTTTACATGAAAGACCATAAAAACCAATTATTTTAGGACATCTACTTAATATTTTGAGAAACGCTTCAATTTGAGATATCTTAATAACTCATTTATATGGTTTACATGCCATATCCATACCACGATAGATTTTTTTTATAACTGTATTATTTGAACCTCTTATATTAACAAATCCACGATCTGGATCCTTAAGTTCAGAATATTCAATGACAAACCCATTAATTAGAGTTAAATTGGTTGATATCTTTTCCACAATATTTTTGGTATCATCATTAAGCTCATTCATCACCTGTTTGTTTTAAATTTAGAGAAATTATATTAAATATAAATTATTAAATTTAAAAACGATTTCAATAAGCAAACATTTCCTAACATGTTAGCATCTTCTAAAATTTGTTTATTCGCCTGTTCCCGTTTTTCTTCTGAAAGAATAGTTGAAAAATACAAATCTTTGCACGCAGCTTCAAATTCTTGGATATGTTTATTATATATTTCTACAATAGTATTCACACTCCAATAATTTCGAATCATTGATATATCTGTTACTTCGTTAACGAAATCTTTAATATTTTTCATTACATTTATTAATCTAAGCCACGATATATAATATTGCTGGTCAGAAAAAAAAATTTTCATTTTCTTGTTTTTTACGTAGAAAGACTTTGACAAATAGCTCAACAATCTCAAAGCGGTCTAGTACATCTAAACATATTTTTTATTATCGAATATGATGTTTAAATCTTCAGTAATTCTGCTGACATCATTGAATAAAGGTATAAATTGATGAATGATAATTTTTTTCATTTTTTTCATTAACCATATTTGTAAAATATTCTATAAAATTGTTCAGATGAAATTCTTTTTCATGGATGGTGCAATGATATATATGTTATATGTATGTTCCCAAAAATCAAAAAAGGAAAATTACAACAATGGCATTGATTATTACAGGTATATACATGTTCTAGAAAAAGTATAAATATACGCGTTACATAGAGTAAATTTTTTGTAAAAAATAATAAATCTTTAAATAGTCTTTAATTAATAAATATAGAATAATTATAATTTTATTTTTTACTTATTGACATAATAAAAATAATAATAATTAAAGAATAATAATAAATAATAACATAATAATATCAATAGTCAAATATGTCCGAGTCATTCGTGATTGATAAAATAGATTCAGAATGGGCTTGTGATTCGAATGAGGTGATAAAGATCAGGTTTGGTAAGTGAAAATATATTAAACGTAATTTAATGTGTTTAATGTATTTTATTTTATTTATTAATTTATATTTTAATAATAACATTTAACATAAAATATTATTAAATATAAATTTTAATATTTCATTCATTCAGTTGACCATAATAACAACGACGAGGAGGAAGGAGAAAAAAATGAATATCAAAAAAGTGTACGCGAATTTTCTCCAGAATTTTCTCATCAAATATTTTCGAATCAACAAATATTCGGGTATACAAATTTGAAAGTAAAGGTAATTAAAATTATTATTATTATTATTATTATTATTATTAAATTTTTTGAATAAATCGAATTAATTCAATTATTTAAAATAATATATAATAATAGTTACGTTTTGCGTCAAGTAGTATGACTACATACTTTGGAGTCACTTATGATGAAAAAATTCTTGATTCAACAACAAATTTAGTTGATGATGTTGAAAAAACATTGAGTGAATTATTACCTGATGGTAAATTTAAAAATTATTTTTATTTATATTATTTTATATTTTATTTTATATTATTTTATATATTTTTTTTTATTTATTATATTTTATTTATTTTATATTTTTATATTATTTTGTATTTAAATTTTTATCTATTTTACTTTTATTTTATTTTATTTTATATTTTATAATTATAGATTATATCACGAATTATGATATTTTCTTACAAAGAGTACAAACGGATGCAGAAACATTTATTCCAATGGGCGAAAAAATTTCGGAATATCGCATTGATAATGATAATAGTGATAAAGTATATGAAATTTATAAGGTAATTAAAATAAATTTATTATATTCAGTAGTGTTTTAAATTAATTAAAAAAAAAAAATTAAATTAAAATTATTATTATTATTATTTTTTTAAAAATTTTAGGCAACTTTTAAAACTCCAAGATTTAAAGAATTTCATAAAAGATTAAGAATATTTGTATTATTTTATATTGAAGCAGGATCATATATTGATGAAGATGAGGATCATTGGGAAGTTATGCTTGTGTATGTTAAATTATATTAAATATATTATAATAATTATATTTTATTAATTATATTTATTAATTTTTTTATATTTATTAATTATTATAATTATTCTATTTTTATTAATTATTATAATTATTAATTATTATCATTATTAATTATTATAATTATTATTATTTAGATTTGAAAAAAAAAATATTGGTGGCACATATACTTATAATTTAGTAGGCTTTTGTACAATGTACCTATTTTATTATTTACCTCGTACAAAGAAGAATCGTGAAAATAATGAAAATAATTACGAAAATAATGGAAATCATCATATGAATGAGGATTTGAATGAAAATTTCAGTAATTGTGAAAAGAATAAAAGGCATTTATTACAAATTACTAATAATCAAGATGTATCTATACTTAATAATATAAGGTTACAAATTAGGTATTTATTTATTTATTTATTTATTTTATTTATTTATTTATTTATTCAATTTTCGTCTCTTTTTTTATTTCACTTTATTTTATTTAAATTTATTTATGATGACGATTTATATACTTTACATATTTAAAGTCAATTTATAATATTACCACATTATCAACAAGAAGGACACGGTGGAAAATTATATCAAACTATTTATCAATATTGTTTATTAGATCCTAGAATAAGACAACTTGTTGGTGAGTTGCAAAATATTATTATCACATATATACATCATCATCATCATTATCATCATCATCATCATTATAATTATAATATATTTATAGTTGAAGATCCCAGTGAACTTTTTTCAGAAATTCGTGATAAATGTGATATGAGATATTTAAGAGAAATGAAAGCATTGGAAGGTCTTGTAGCTCCAGTCGATAAAAAAGTGATTGATGAATTATGGAAAAAATATAAATTTAACAAAGTATTTATTTATTATTTTTATTTATTTTTTTAATTATTAATTTATATTTATTTATTTAATTTATTCCACATTTTTATTTATTTTTTATTTATTTATGTTTATTTATTTATTTTATTTATTTTTTATTTATTTTTATCTATTTTATTTATTATAGCGACAAATGCATCGATGTATAGAAATAGAATTATTACAAAATTTAAATAAGAGAGATCCTGTTGCTTACAAAGCTTATCGATTACAAGTAAAGCAAAGAGTATATAATTGGAATAAGGTATTATTTTTATTTATCTAATTTTATATGAATTTATTTATTATTTTATCAATCGTTTATTGACATGCCATTTTAATTCCTTTTATAATGTTCTTAGGAATTATTGGATCAAATTAGTAGAGAAGAGCGCTTACAAAAATTGGATGAAACATTTAAAGGAATTGAGGAAGAATATCAACAACTTATATTGAAATTGTGATCGTGATCGCGATTGTGAATAATTGGTTAGTAATAATTTATTATCTATTAACTATTTATATAATGTAATTTATTAAATTTAATTTATTTTATTTTATTTTTTTATCATAAAATCTGTAATAATATAAATAATATAAAATTAAGTAATTTTACAAATTAATCTAATAATATCATTATTTTTTATTATTTTATTTGTAGTTACACTATTTTTTTTTTTTTAAAGTAAATTCAAATAATCATTACATTCTGTATATATTCACTCTATCATCATAATCATCATTTACTATTTACTATTCCTTAAATATAGTCATTTATGATTTTTTTCATTCCTTCCTTTCAAAATGTCCAAATTTCACTGTGATTCGTCAGGTGAGCAGTTAAACGTTAAAATCCTACAATTTGCGAGTGGATTCCTTCGTGAATTAAAATTAATAAAGTGAAATGAATATTTGTTTTTTCTCATAAATGACTGGAAATCTTTGTTATCTGTTATCAATCAAAAATTAAACAAAAAAAAAACGTAGATCACCTCGGTCAAATAATGTCAGGAACTCTCGTAATTGGTAGATTCATAAGAATGTTTTCTTTATCCAATAAATTTGAACAAATAGTAAAAGATTTTTCCTGATACAAACTAGATTTTCTGATCCACTTGCATTGTATTGGGATGGATATTGATTTTATATTATATAAATAATAAAAGGTGAGGTGTAATCAAAAACAGAACTTAACTCGTAAATATTAAAAATATGAAACAAAGCACGGAGTGAACATTTTACCACGATAATTAGATATTTCTTAAAGACTCTTGAAGACAGTTCGTTCTTTTAAACCACTAATTCAGTAATTCAGAAATTATTTACATGAAACTGGTGAAACGTATCTATTATTACTATTATTATATTTTATTAAATAAAATATATAATTTTCTAAAGTTAGATTTCTCGATGAAATAAAATGTGAAGTGACAGAATTAATTTTCAAAATAATACTTCATGACCTATAATTTTTAATGCTTTTAATTTATGCATTATAATTTTTAAATCATATTTTAGAATAATTATAAAAATATTATTTTTTTTTGTAAGACCACCAGTTGGATCTGAAACAAATCTATAATAATAAAATTAGAGGCAGTAACTCCACCGGGAACCCTGATGAAATATCCAGCTGTGGAAGGGTCTTCTCTGACAAATTGGAAAGCTTCAGAATGCCATCCAACAATTGATACTTGCTCATCTTTTTCCATCTCGACTATAAATACTGAATCAACGTCAAATTTATTTAAAGTTTTCAAAAGAAAATGTCAATGGTTTCCACCGACAATTCCAACCTAAACTTAATCCATTCACGTGATGCACACTTACTCTCCCTTCTAGTCTAATCCCTTTTCTTCTACACTCCTAAAATTTTTTTAGGGACAAAAATTGATTAATCATTTTTGAAAACTGAGGAAAAAAAAAGATCTCGTTTTTTAAATTAATCAACGTAATCACAAGGTCATAAGAAAAAATTTCAAGGAAATGATATAATTGAATAGTACCGGTTATGGAATAAAGTTCAGCTCTCGAAGTTGTTGAAGGATCGCCGTGAAATCTTCATAGTACCATACTTCGATAATTACTGTCCAATTTTCATCGCAGAGTTCTTATTTATCTGATCACGTGCTGTGAAAGAAAAGCCGTTCACGTTAAATTCGATAGCAATAATAAGGAAAATCTAGTTCTAAATCCCGTTGGATGTTCAGAAAATCAAGTCAGGTTTGAGATTTTTTGATGGTAATAATTCAGTTACTATTTTTGACAAATACATATCTTGTCTTGTCTTTTCCAAGAGCAAAGTGATGTACCTAAATTTTTTTTTCACATAGCTTTTTTGTTGAAAATTAGCTTTTTTAATATAGAATTTTGCATTACCTGCATAGTGTGGACATCAGGTATTCAACGAATTTAAGATTTAATAAACATTTTCCACCCTTATGTCGTGTAATATCAAAAATAATTAAAATACAATGAATTGTCACTTTTATCTTATTTTTATTTTTTTACATTTTCATAACCTGTGTTAATAGGATAAAAAGAAATAATTAAGATAAATGAGCCTAACTTTAAATGATTAGATATTTGTTTTTGTCAATTTTTTTTTAACATATATAAAAATATCCTAAATGCTTATTTGTTTAAAATAAAGATTAAGGGTGTCATCATTGAGAAATTGATGGTATTAATTTTTGTATGTATATTGAATTTTACTAATACAATATATTTTAGTTTTACAAACATCAAAATTTAAGAATATTTCCTATCCTTCGAAATGATTTTCATCCCCTTTTTTGTTCCAATACTATCCATGATTATCATAATTATCACATTTTTTCGAAATGATTTTTCATCAAATTTTTTTTTTCCAGTTGAATTAAAGTGCCACTTATATTTTTCATTTACGTAGATATTTTTGTTTATCAAAATAAAGTTAGATAAAGTTGGAACTTTATATACTATTAAAGCTTGCTTGAAATGGAATAATTTATATTATGAACTTTAAATATGGTATCATTGTTAGTTAGACAAAGTGACAAGACGAATATATTAAAAATAACTTTTAATTAAATATTTTAATTTAAAGTTATACGTATGCGGAATTAAAATTGATGCATTAAATTTCAAAAGATAAATTTTTACGATTTCGATTGTAACCAATTAATTGATTCCATTGCAATTAATAATTTGTAATGTACGCACCATTTCATATAAGTGCATACAGCAAATCATTAAATGTCCGACAAACCAAAACGTGAGTGCATAAAATTAATATAAATAACTGACGCGCGAATATTGTATTTATATAAGCAATATAATGCATTGAATTTAATATAACATTTATTTTATTTTATTTTATTTTATTTTTATATATCTATCGTATAATCTTTGAAAATATCATGGTTTTTTTAAAGCCTTTAGAATTTATATTCCATTAAAACTTCAATAAAATATATAAAATTTCAAAGTTCAATTATTATTTATTTTTTTTTATAGATAATTTATTCTGCGAGCATAATATAATTTCAACAGAAATGATACAAACAAAAAAAGGTGAAGAGAAAGCATTCCAGTGGAACTTGAAATCAGCTGAAGGTGGAGTTAATGATCGACGGAATATTCATGGTTATGAACGTGGAACAACAAAAGAAGAAGAAGAGAAAGCATTTCAGTCGTACTTAAAATCAGCTAAAGGTGGCGAACAAAATAATCTTTATGATAATGAGAAAGCATTTCAGTGGTGCTTGAAATCAGCTGAAGGGGGAAATATTGATGGACAGAATAGTCTTGGTGAATGTTATTACTATGGAATTGGAACCACAAAAAATGAACAGAAAGCATTTCAGTGGTACTTGGCATCAGCTGAAAGGGGAAATATTGCAGGTCAATATAACCTCGGACATTGTTATCAACATGGAATTGGTACAACAAGAGATGAAGAGAAAGCATTTCAGTGGTACTTGAAATCAGCTGTAGGTGGAAATAGTGGTGGACAGAATAATCTTGGATATTGTTATAAAAATGGGATTGGGACAACAAAAGATGAAAAGGAAGCATTTCAGTGGCACTTGAAATCAGCTGAAAGTGGATATATTACAGGACAGAATAATCTTGGACATTGTTATCGATACGGGATTGGAACAACAAAAGATGAAGCGAAAGCTTTTCGGTGGTACTTGAAATCAGCTGAAGGGGGAAGTATTATTGGACGAGGTAATCTTGGAGATTGCTATGAAAATGGGATTGGAATAACGAAAGATAAAGAGAAAGCATTTCAATGTTACTTAAAATCAGCTGAAGGTGGAAATATTACTGCAAAATATAACCTTGGACGTTGTTATCAACATGAGATTGGAACAACAAAAGATGAAGAGAAATCATTTCAGTGGTATTTGAAATCAGCTGAAGGTGGAAATAGTGACGGACAGAATAATCTTGGTTATTGTTATCAACATGGAATTGGAACAACAAAAGATGAAGAGAAAGCATTTCAGTGGTACTTGAAATCAGCTGAAGGTGGGAATATTATTGGACAATATAATCTTGGACATTGTTATCGATATGGGATTGGAATGACAAAAGATGAAAAGAAAGCATTTCAGTGGTACTTGAAATCAGCTGAAGGGGGAAATAGTAGCGGACAAAATAATCTTGGTTATTGTTATAGAAATGGGATTGGTACAACAAAAAATGAAAAGAAAGCATTTCAGTGGTACTTGAAAGCAGCTGACGGGAAAAATATTACTGGACAATATAATCTTGCACGTTGTTATCAATCAGGAATTGGAACAATAAAAGATGAAGAAAAAGCATTTCAGTGGTATTTGAAATCCGCTGAGGAAGGAAATAATTATGGAAGGAATGGTCTTGGTTATTGTTATGAATATGGGATTGGAACAATAAAAGATGAAGAGAAAGCATTTCATTGGTACTTGAAATCAGCTGAAGGGGGGATATAATGATGGGCAATATAATCTTGGTTATTGCTATCAATATGGAATTGGAACAACAAACGATGAAGAGAAGGCATTTCAGTGGTACTTGAAATCAGCTGAAGGCGGAAATAGTGATGGACAGAATAATCTTGGTTACTGTTATAGAAATGGGATCGGAACAACAAAAGATGAAGAGAAGGCATTTCAGTGGTACTTAAAATCAGCTGAAGGTGGAAATAGTGATGGACAATATAATCTTGGTAAATGTTATTACAATGGGATTGGAACAACAAAAGATGAAGAGAAAGCATTTCAGTGGTATTTGGAATCAGCTGAAGGTAGAAATAGTAATAGTAAGAATAGTATAGGTGATATGTACTTCTCTTCGACAAACGATAATGAAAAATAATCAATTAAATAATTACGTTCGGCATACTTTTTACCTATTTGCAATATATCTACCTGTTTTTTTTTTTCTGTCTTTCTTTGTAACATTACATGAGCTTCCGATAGAAAGTTATGAATGA